GATTCCAACCCGCCACCTTAGGTGTATGTGGCTGGCACCTTAGCCACCTGAGCCACAGGCGCCGAGCCTCTCTTCCCTTTCTTTAATAAGAAATAAACTTATACTTTTATATTCCCCCCCAAAATTAATGGAAGTGGAGATACCAAGTAGTTAAGGGGCTCCTGCATTAGTACTGAATACGTACTATATGTCAAGTAACATTCTTATAAATACTATTCCAATAGTAGTTACTGCATGTTAGCTATGGATTCTTAGGCCTATGAGCTGTCTGTATGTCCCCACTACTGCCATGTCAGAAGTGCCAAGCCTCAGTTGCTGTTCCTCTATTTTTGCCAACCTTATTCCCAGGGTAATCTAGTTTCTCAAAGCAATCATCAGAAAGACACTGTCTTTTGATTTTTCTTTTTCTATTAAATACTATCCACAATCTTTATTATCACTAACCATACATTTAAATTTGGGGTTTTGAGGTTTTACAAAAAAGAGAGTTATTATATTTTTAGTGCAGTCAAGAATATGACAGACTCAACAACAAACCACCAACTTACTGCTCATTCTAATAATCAAGGGAATCCTTCCTTATTATTTTTAAAAAATGATCCCAATAGGGACATCATAAATAAAGGAATATCAGAGAATATTACTATAGGGGGATGGATCATAAACTTGTAAAATGTAATTTTTAGCTCTCAGTTACTTTTCTTTTTGCTATGGATATACTCAACTACAAAACAAACTTAGAAAGGTTAGTAATACTACTAAAAAGTATCCGTGAAAAAAGCTTTAAAATTAACACACTGTCAATACTATTTTTTTAATTGATATAGAAAAACTGCATATATTTATGTATACCTTATTTTGAAATAGATATATATACACACATTGTGGAATGGCTCAACTGAGCTAATTAACATATGCATTACCTCATATACTTACTTTGTGTGGTAAGAACACCTAAAATCTACTCTTAACTGACTTTTAAAAAATACAACACATTGTTATTAACTATAGTCAATGCTGCATGGTAGATCTCTTAAACATTCCTATGTAAGTGAAATTCTGTATCCTTTAATCAATATCCTCTCATCCCCTTTTCTAATCTCTGCTTCAAAGAGCTGAATTTTTTTAAGATTCCACATGCAAGTGAAAACATATAGTATGTGTCTTTCTATGCCTGTCTTTTTTCATTTAACATAATGTCCTCCAGTTTCATCCATGTTCTCACAAAAAACAAGATTTCTTTCTTTTTTAGGGCTAAATAGTATCCCACCAATACTGTTTTTAATAGACTTAAACTATATCCATTCTAGTAACAGTATGCTTAGACAGTGGCTTGTTGCAAGATGCTGTAGTAGACATCTGCAAATTCAGCAGTTATTTCTTAAGATATGCATCATTTTCCTGGTTGGCATGCTCATCCAGTGACGTTCTTATGCAATTCTTTAATTCTTCAATTCCTTCTCCAGTAATCGCAGATATAGGGATATGTGGGAACTCCACAGTCTTCTATGGAATCATGTTTTTCCCAAATAAATGCAAAAAATCCTTAGAATTCTGAAGCTGGTTCATCAATGCATGGAATTTATCTTGGGCATCTGGCAAGTCCATTTTATTAACTACCAGGAGGGCAGGTTTTGTCTGAAGTTCCTCTTTGTACAACTCCAACTGTTTTGTAAGCAGTAGTATAGTTTCAAAAGCAGTTGGGTATTGAGTTTTGGAAGGAAGCTGAAATTCACAAATGTCAACAACAAAAAGAAGTTGTCTAGTTCTTTTTATATGCTTCAGGAATCTGTGGCTCATTCTTTCATTCATATGTGCTCCTTCTACTAAACCTGGAAGGTCAGCTACTGATATCTGTTTGAAATCATTGTACTAAATCTTTCCAAGTTCAGGCTTTAATGTTGTAAATGCGTAATCTACAATTGCAGGTTTTGCATGAGCAACCCGACTTAGCAAAGAGGATCTTCCAGCATTTGGGAATCCTACTAAGCCTACTTCAGCTACAAGTTTTAGATCAAGGTGAATTATTCATTCTGCCCTTTCAATGGTAAGAAATTTGTAAGTAATTTACCACCAAGACCTCCTTCAGCTACCACAATTCTATCACCTTCTTTATTGAGTTCTCCTATAATTTTACCATTTTCATTGGTTATTGAAATACCCAAAGGTACCAGGACTTCACAGTCCTTTCCTTTGGAGCCCTTCAGTGCACTAATCTGACTATCTGCTCCTCCTTCAGCCACAAATTGTTTGTAAGGATATTTGTCTCTAAGTTGCCTTAATGTCATTTTTTTATGGGCTACAACCCAGACATCACCACCTCTACCACCTTCTCCACCTAAACGAGGATAGCCCATTCCGCCACTTCCTCCCTTGGTGAAATGTCTTAGGTTATCAATGAAATTTCCATACTTTCTGAACAACATGCAACCGCTATGCACCATGACTACATCCAGCCTGGACTCCTTCCAGCCGAAGCTTTTGATTTTTTTATTATCTATACTTACAAAATTCTCACACATCTCTTTTATCAGTAAGCATAACTATAAAACTGAAAGCAGAGAGCCATTTTAAAAGTATAGGCTTTTATCTAAATAAATAAATAACTATAAAAAGAAACTTACGTAGGATGAGCTTGCGTTTCTTTTGCTCTGAGTGAAGAAAGCTACTAAGGTAAAAGACAACAGGTAGAAAGAGAATGAACACAGAAACAGCAATTACAGGCACTGTGTCACTGCAAGGGACCGAGCAGTTGAAAGTGCGACTCCACAGTTTTCGAGTAATGTTCATCTGGAACATGAACAAATAATATTATCCTATTTTATATTTAACTTGTCTTCAATTTCTTATCATTATTTTGTCAGTATCTAAACAGATACCTAGAATTTAAACTAAATACACACCCCTGAAAATCTACTGATAGTTCAAAGACAATCTCTTCTGCTAGGGAAATAAGCTGGTTCACCATTAGTCACTATATAA